CGGATGGACTGGAACCTGCCAGAGCTCACGATCCTCCAGAGCTTCTTGGGGAAGTGGCAGTACAGGAGCTGGTCTCGGCGCTCCTCGCGCCCCCGCCGCCGCCGCCGGCGCCGCTTGGGCCGGGGCTCGGGGTTCGGGGGCACCCTGGGGGTCTCGAGCGAGCCCTCCTTCTCCGGGAAGCCCTGGCAGGCTGCCGCTGCCGGCGGCCTGGGGGTCTCGAGCGAGCCCCCTTGCCCCGGGGAGCCCCGGGTGGCTGCCGCTGCCGGCGGCGCCAAAGACGCACCTTCAGGATGCTGCCAGGGGCCGGCGGGGCTGGACGGCAGCTCCGGGGCCCCCCGAGGGGAGGCCGTGCCCTGCCAGGCCGGCTCCTCGCCCGCTAAGGGCCCTGAAGGCCCCTGCTCTGCCCACCCCGGAGGGGAACCGCCTGGGGCCTGGGCCGGAGCCGGGCTGCCCATCCCCGCGGCTTCCTCCGGGGACACACGCGACCTCGGCTCTGTGCGCTGCGGCCACTGGCCAAAGCCTCGCTCGGACGTGGGGGCACCGGGCAAAATGGCGTCGGAAGCCAGGCCCGGGCTGACGTCATCAATGGGGCAAGCAGGTCCAGTTCGAACCCGGCCCTGGACATTCCGAGCTTAAAGGCGCCGGACCCACGGGGACTTAAAGCCACACGCGCCCTCCAGGGTCCCCCAGCCGCCCTCCAGTGCCCATCCCCACCACGATGCCCGCGTCGGGCACTCTCCGCCCCCGGGAGGGGACAAGCCCCATGCGGGTGGGCACCGAGCCAGGCCACGTCCACTGAGCCCACCCGACTCCCCACCACCAGCACGGCCCGTTGCCGCCGTCCTGCCGGGGGACTTGGGCCAAGGCCTTGCTCCTGGGCGCCAGCCCTTCCTCAGCTCCCCGCGCTCTTCCTGCGGGCACCCTGCCCCTCTCCTTGGCTTTCTCCGCCCGGCTGCCTCTCCACCGCCTTTGCCCCACGTGCTTCCGGTTGCGGGTGGAATCCGGGTTCGTGGGTAAATACTTCTGACTCCACGGCAGGCCCTGGTCTTCAACACCGCCGAGGTCCCAGGCAAAGGACTTTGCTTTGTGTGTCTCTCAGGCTCGACAGCACCTGCCATCTCCGGGTGGTGATGAGTGAATCCCAGGGGTCCGTGGGGTGAGAGCCCCAAGTGCAGGACTCGGATGCCCCTCCTGCGGCAGGCCTCCTTCTGGGCTGCGAGCCACTGCCCACTCTGACCCTTCCTTTTCTGACCAGGCCTGGGGGGGGAGGGGTGGCAAAAGCAGCAACATTGTCCTTCATGGGCTGTTGTTACCAGGACAGCGTTGTTTGTCCCTGCTGCACTATTTTAGTGCCGTTGGGTCTTGCTCCATCTGTCTTGCACATGAATCCCCCCTTTCTGCGGGATCGGACACTGCTGGGCCCATGGGTGCTGGGAAGGTGGATGCACATGAAGCCCTATTATTTACTTTCTTCTTTTTGTTTCACACCCAGTGATGCACGGGGGTTACTTCTGGCTCATGCACTCAGGAATTACTCCTGGCGGTGCTCAGGGGACCATATGGGATACTGGGAATCAAACCCAGACAGTCCGCGTGCAAGGCAAATGCCCTACCCGGGGCGCTATTGCTCCAACCCCAAAGCCCTATTATTATTAGCTTTGTAAATTGCGGTGCTTTGGCTTCAGAATTAAGAATGACATCAAGTGAAACATCCCTTTCTGGATGGCAACTTGGCTCAGAACTGTAGCTTCGGATACAGACACAGGGCAAGAAGCAGCCTAGAAATCCTTCAGCTCCTCTTCCCAGTCTGCCATCCTCTGTGAGCCTGACTGCACCTTCAATCTCTTCCTCTCCTCTCGTGCCCACTCATGGCGGCGATCAGAGGCTATTCCTGGCTCTATATTCCTGGGTCACCTTTGCTGGTGCTCTGAGAACTTGGGGAGACAGGCCAACAAGGCCGCTGGGCCCCGGAACAGATTTCATAGGTCATGCTTGGACTGTCGCTGTCAACTGACAATCACAGCAGCTGCTCTTCAGCTGGATTTCTCCATTCTGAGCCCCCTCATTTTCTTTTGTTTTTTTTTTTTGTGTGGTTTTGGGGGCACACCCAATCGTGCTCAGGATTTGCTCCTAATTCTGTGCTCAGAGATTTGTCTTGGTGCTGCCAGGATGCGAGACAAGTGCCTTAGCTGCGGTGCTGCCACTTTAGATGCTGAAAGCTGCCCCCTTGACCTGGAGGGGGAAATATGTTCTCGTGTGACCCACAGCTGTCACATGATTCTCTCAGGATGGATGGGTCCATAAGCTGGGAAATTGCTAAGTCTCAGGGAAATGATGGAGTAGCATTTGGGACATAATATGGGAGAATTATCTGGGATAATTTGGGGGAACTGAAGCATAGTTTGACCATCTACTTTCAAATCAAGCATGTGTTTGGAGTTTTCATGAAGATGTAATACTTGGATCTGCCTTGGTTTGTTTAGTAATCCAAGTAAACTCTGTCATCCAAGGAGAAAATTCCGACTTGCTCGGAGTGTGGGGGTGGGACCAGCCTCAATAGAGATCCATAGCTTTTCGTGCCTGGGCCTACAGTTGTGCCAAGCTCATGTCACCAAAACCAAGAGAGAATGCAGGACCTCATCTCAACCCAGGAATGTCACTCTGGAGTTCCTGGAGCAAGCCCAGAACCAAATTGGACCTAGTGACTAGAAATAAATGATGTCCATTGACCTAAATGTGTAAGATCTCCAGGTGAAAAGTCCCTGGCAGCGTTTTTCTGTGTCTCCAAGATTTTTAGTGACTCAACACAGGAGCATTTTATTTGTTTTTTCTCTTGGAAGAAAGAAAATTTTGTGATTCTAGTTTTCAACCGAGACAAAAGTCTTGGCAAACTCAATGCCTCTTTTGCAGACCACAACACCCAAAAGGAGAGAGAGAACACAGGGGATTGCCCTGCCACAGAGACAGGGGGGATGGGGGGATGGGGGTGGGAGGGATATTATCCATGGTGGTGGAAAATGGGCACTGGTGGAGGGATGGGTATCTGATCGTTGTATAATTGAAACCAAAGCACAAAAAATTGTAAATCTACAACTTTAAAAAAAATAAAATAAAATAAAGGGGAAAAAAAAGAAAAAAAAAGAAAGATTTGTTGCAATAAATAAAGAAATATATCAATCTCTTTAAAAAAAAAAAGTCTTGGCAAAGCTTTCATTGCTCTGACTTAAGAGCAGTGCAGAAGGATGTTTGGGTATGTTACTAAAACCACCCCACAGTCCTGGTTCTCCTCCCTGGCACTTGGCTACCATCTAAAGCAGAACCATAGCACTTTGTGCCCTTCTTGCCTCTTGGTTTGTGGATCGAGTTCTCCTTCACCTTCTTTGCCATTGCTGAGAACATTCTCAGGTGGTTTCTGGAGGCTCGAAATTGAGGGTATTGGCATTGGCTCGTCAGTGGCTCTTTCTAAAACCCTTTGCAGAGACCAGCAGAGTGAAGCCTTGTGTTTTCTAGGGAGTAATGTTTACTTGACCAGCCAAATGTTCCAGTGGAATCCCTCCATAAATCTGGAAGAGGTGACAAGGGTCAAAAGTACAGCCACACCATCCTACTTCTTCTCAGAGGTCAGGTGGTGAGAGCCTCCAGAGACCTCTACACGCCAACATGAGGTGCCACCAGTCACACAGAGGGTGATCTGTGTGTCCCACCACCCTCAGCAGCCTGAGGAGGAGCAGATTCTGACTGCAGTCACACAACACTATGCCCTGACCAGGCAGCCACACACCCACCTACCCCATGTCTGGCAAAGTCTCTGGAATAGTGTGACTCCAATGGCTTCCTGTCTTTTAGCAAATGCCCCTGCGGGTCTACAAGAAGTGTGAACTCTGCCACGCTATCTCTGTGGGGTGATGCCGGAGATGCAGCCCACAACCCGGTGACCTCAGACATTGATTCCTCAGGGAGGTGCACCTCCTCGGATCACAGAATTCTGGCCACGAAATGCAGAGCACTTTCAGACAGTTTCCTGAGGCAGAAAATTCTTCAAACTTACGGGGCTACCTGCCTGAGACCCAATATTCTGGCACTATGGATGAGGTTCGGGGCTCTACAGTGCTGACTGCCCTCACCGAGTGCTTAGGTCGCCATTTCCCATTGCGGTGACTTCCCATATCACGAATTAACCTCCCTGCACTTAACCCACCTTAAGCTGTGGGATCTGACTTTCTTGTGAGCATACGAATCCTACCTGGTGTTGGTGTTTCAATGAATCCTGGTGAATAAAAAGCAAGTTACTTGACAGTCCACAGCGACAGTGACTACTTGAAAGACAGCTCTGGTCTACAGCAAGGCTGACATGGAAGTAGTTGATGGAATGTGTAACATGGGAGGAGCTGGGGCTACCAACAGGGCCTCATTCCACCTGTCACATATTGCCTATCCCGTCAACTGCAGCTAACCATGGGCTGAAACATCCAAGTTAAATGGCCATGAACATGTAGAGATGTATGGGTGAACTAGGCAGAAAGGTGAATATTTATTTATTTTGCTTTATGGGTCACACCCGGCGATGCACAGGGGTTACTCCTGGCTCTGCACTCAGGAGTTACCCCTGGCGGTGCTCAGGGGACCATATGGGATGCTGGGAATTGAACTCGGGTCGGCTGCGTGCAAGGCAAATGCCCTACCCGCTGTGCTATCTCTCCAGCCCCTGAGGTGAATATTTATTTAAAGCCGTGGATTTCATTGTGAGATCATCTGGGCACTGGAGAACATGAGAGTAAGGAGTTTTCAGGGAATGACAGTTGTGGCTAACAGGGTACAAGCTCCCTGACCCTCACCCACCCACCCAGAGATGTGTGTTTGGGCTATATTTGCAGTTCTTGTTGAGGGTGTCCACCCAACAGTGCCCAGACTGCCTGTGGCAGCGGGAGGTTTCCCTTTGTACTGACTGGTTAAGGATGGTTCCTGTGCCCTATCAGGTTTAAGCCAGAGTCACACACACATATGGAAAACAAGGAACCGGTTTATTGAACAGCTAAAGGGATCAAAACGGGTGATGGAGCTACATCTGTTACACACCAAGCAGGAAAGGCGACACAACACCCTTCCGAAAGTTCCCACTCTTCCACCCTCAACAGAACAGGAGGACACACGTGTGGCGGAGGGCAGCTGAGCGCCCGTTGGAAACAGGGGAGCAGTAACCTGGGGAAGAAGCCAGTGCCCTCACCTCCTATACATCTGGGCAGAAAGTTCTGTCCTAGGGTTTGGGTTATTCCCGACTCCTGGCTGTCCCTGCAGCCCGAAACACATGGGCACAGTCGATTTTGAGAAGGAAGTGGGAAAAAAAAGTGTCAGCCCTTAACCTCTGCCCATCCCGCTGCCTATTTCTGGTCTCAGCAGCTTCTTCAGATGCTGCTGGGCTTCCGAGGTTCCCGGGAACCCATATTCCCAGTGCTGGAGGAGCCCCGGCACTTTCTTGCTATGGCCATTCCGGCAGCTGCAAATACTAGGTAGATGGAGAAATTTGTGGGAGGAAAGGCCTGGTCCCCCAAAAGACTGACTCTGCCATGGATGGGGAAGGCATGCCACTGATTTCAACCTCTGTTACACCACATGTCCGTGTCCAGTTCAAGCTTGTAAAAAAATACTTTCCAGGATCAACTGTACAGAGCTGGGAGTGCACACGATATGTAACAATGCTGAGTCACATAAATACTATACAGGCACGGAGCTGCTCCAGGAGTCTCAGCCATGGGACCAGGACCACCTGCTGCCGTCTGCTGCCTCAGTGACATGCAGTGATGACTGGTGTGTACCTGGGCCACACCTTCTAGCTCCTCCCCAGCACCCCTGCCAGGGGAACCCTGTGCTATACACGTGCGGGTGGCCCGGTGTAGCAGGCACTGAGGACCAACACTTGTTATGAGCATTTTAGCATTTAGAAGCAGCCACCTAGAAGTGCTCCGTCTGGCTTATCCATCCTAATGGGCACACATTCCTGCCACCTCCCGAGGCCCACTGTGCAGAGAATGCCTCCTCCTTCCCTCCCATACTTCCACCATCAGTTCACATCCACTGATATGGCCCCTTGTGTCCCCCGCAGTAAGTCACTGGCTGGCATTTGCAAACAAGGCATGAGATGGAGGTCCCTGGAGCCCCAGCTCCAGTGCCAGTTCTGGGGTGAACACAGAGGCAGAGGCAGGGAGAGGAGAATAAGCGTCCAGTCCACCCACGTGAGACCCAGCATGTGATTGTCTAATCCGGCATTTCGATATTTAATTTTGGGGGCGGGAGGACATACTTTCCAGGGCTCTGTGTGATGACCACCCTGGTCTTCTTTCGAAACAGGGGGGCGATTTTAGGAGGTTCTGGAACTGGGGTCTCTTCTGTTTCCTCATTATCTTCATGATGGAGGTCATAGGAAATGTTTCCGTACTCTCTCAAAAATGGGAAGATTTCAAGCAGAAACTGGCAGAAGTCCTTGCGAATACCAAACCACCCTGAAAGAGAAAATCCCGTGTTGAGATTCTCCAGTCCAACTTCCCTTCCTCGCCAATGGACTGCATCTTTCCCTCTGAGGGGCACTGCAATAACTGGGGTGTGGAATGGGGATAGCAGCCTCTGAACACTTTTTGGTTGCTTGCTTGGAAAAGGGATATTTCCAGGGGGCCTCTGAGTGATTTTTTTTCTGAAAAGGGAACCACAGCAAAATAAGTTTGGGACCTTCTGCTGAACCACACAAAGAGGTGGCTGGGCCTATTAACCCCACTGAAGGCAATAGTGGAGCTCCCCAGTTCTCCAAGCAGGACGATCTGGATCTGTGTCTCCAGAGTCTTGGAAGCAATGCCCCCCGCCCCAAGAGTGTAAGCCCAGAGCACCTCTACTGAGATTCAAGTTCCTAGTCTTGTACTATGAGGAACCTTGTCACTGCCCCCCACCCTGGAGGCACCTAGGTACCCACGGAAGAATTTCAGTGCTCTTCTGAAATGTGCAAAGACAGCAGGCTCTTGTTGGCCCGAGCTCATGGGTCACCTCTGAGCTGCTCTGCCTGTGTGGTATCTTATACCCTTGCAGGACTTCCTGGGGCCACACAGCAGGCACAGCCTGCCTGAGAGGCATTCAGCCCCAACAGAGAGGAATCCTCTGTAGAGAAAACTTCCTGATAGTATCAAAGCATGCAGTGAACAAAATCCGCAAGTAAGCAAGATGCCACCAAGCAACTTGTGAACATTGGGGTAGACTCTGGGGAGAGCCAGAAGAAGAGCCCAAGGTTCTGTGGGTTATGCACACACCCATCTAACCCTCCAGTGCCTTGGCAGGGAGAAGGGGTGCTCAGAGGCTCCCACTGTGCGACTCAGACCTTCAAGGGCAGCTGTGGTACAGGGCAGGGAAGGGAGGGCAGAGCACGTAAACATGCCCTTCCTTGGGCGATTCCAGACCTACCTCAGGCCTAGCTCCAGTGAAAATGGCACTGGGGCCGCAGGCTTTATTCTTCTGGAAGGCAGGGCTGCCACACACATGCACCCCCCCCCTGCCACTCACATCCCTCAGAAACCCAGGCCAGTGACTTCAGAAACGCTGAGTACATACAGTGGTTTCCTCCTTTCTGCCCAAAGGTGGTTGCCATCAGAGTGATCAGTGACAGCCAAAGGGGGACAAAGATCGGGATACACGAGAAAGCGTTGTGGCCATCCAGTTTGTGAACCAGCAGAATCTGAGGAAAGAGTGAAAAGTGACGTCACATCTGCAGTGCACACTCCTCCCTCGGGCCTCAAGAGAAATTCAGCTCCGCAGGCTCTCGGGCCCCACCGGTCTCGGGCGAAGGGCCAGGGTGAGGTCTCGCCCTCCCCGAACAGCTCCAAAGCCACCATCTGTTTGAGAAACACCTGCTTACACTGGTCCTAAGTGCCGAGGGCCCATATTTGAAAATTCTCCACTAAATTAAAGCATGCAACTCCACCTTCTAGCTTTCTCCTTCTAGAAGTGGATGCATGGGCATATATAGATATATCATGGCTAGGGAGCTGTGCCCTCTCTGCAGAATCCAGACCCCGCCCGCCCCCAAAGGATGACAGTAAAAGAGAACAGTCTCTGGAAACCCGCTGTGCGGAGAATAGTGGTCCTTGAGCACCACCAGGCGCGGCTGTGGGGGAAGGTGGGTTTCCGGGTTGAGAGACCGGCTGCCCCCAGCTCACCTCGAAGGTGAGGAGAGGCACAACAATGGTCATCCAGCTCAGGGCCATGGTGATGTGTGTCCTTCGCTGCTCTGCAATCACATCCATGGAGCGCAGGAAGAGGACGGACCACACGATGTAGTAGAGGACCACCAGGCACAGAAAGGACATGAGAATCCACAGGGGGACACACACCACCTGGAGGGGAGACATGTCTCTGCAGTGTGCTGAGCATCCACGAGGCCGCCCCTGGCTTGTGCTGTCATACCACCACAGTGCGCTCCTCCCTCCCCGATGTGCCCTTTCACAGGTAGCAGTCCCCTGGTCTGCCATAGGCAAGCCCCCCACCCCCGCTTCCCGGTCTTGCCATCTTACTAGAAAGACCTGTACCCCACACCATGCCACCACAAATCACATGACCTGTCCTGGGGCCTCCAACTGGCCAGGCTCCCACAAGCCCTCGGTTTTTTTCTCCCTTGTGCACTCCCCAGGACTAAGTCTGTCATCCCTGGGTCTTAAGCCATCCTACCACAGGAAGTCTGCTTTCTCCCAGTGTCCAGTGCTGGTGCGCAGCACAGGTCAGGCAGGGGGCAGCTTCTCCCCCCCAACAAGCCTCTTCTGTGGTGTCACATCCTCAGCCACTCCTCTGCTCTTGAGGGGTTTTCCACTTTAGACTTCCGGCATCCATCAGCAGTGTCTGTGCCAGTCATGCACGGGGCCTGCCTGGACAGCCTGTTCCTACTCCCGCGGCCCCACCAGATGGAGCCCAGCGGCCTCATTCCCCACAGCCACTGCAGGCGCGTGGGCCGCTCTCATGCCTGGGGCTTCTGTCTTGTGCTTTACATCTCTCCAGGGGAAACGGCCAGGATCGGGCCTGCTGCTTCACGTGCCCCCTTTCTACCGGGCTTCCAAAGAAACTGCCCATTTGGAGAGGGCCTCGAGAGCATGGCAGGTCTAAGAGTCTTGTGTCCTGCCTTCGGACAACCCCCACTCAGCTCTTGCTGCTGCTGTCATTTCATTGCCACTGAGACACTGCATCTTGGTTCTGGAGTTTGCCTAATGGGTAATCATCTCTTTTCCATGTACCCTACATATAGGTTTTTCGTGTGAACTGCCATGTTCAAATCTCTTGTCAATTTTTTAATTAGGTTGTTTTATTATTTTTGAGTTCTGAGACTTTAGATGTTTAAGATCAGGGTTTCTCATGTTTCCCAGCAAAAACCCCATTTCACCTGAGAAATGCTTACGCGTCTCCCAGTATATAGGTATGAAAATTAAATACTTACTGATAATAAATCATAAAGAAATTACTGTAAAATAGTGTTTCCAGTTATACAGTCCCACATTGTGGTCAGTCTCCAGTAAGCAGCTAGGTTTTAACTACACCCTGGTAGGATATGTGCTTGGAAAGACTGTCTCCCTGCCTGCAGCCTTTTCATTCATTTCACTTTAATTTGGAGTTTCTTCACAAACACCACACTGTTGGTGTCATTTCCTGGAACTTTGCACCAAACTTCGGGGCCCAAAGATTTTTTTCTGATAGTTTCTCCTAAAAGTGTTTTGATTTACGCTTTGCTTTGGGACCTCAAGTTATGACTTATAATTGTCTAGAGCACCTGCTGTTCCTGGTCACAGTTTGCTGAAGAGCCTGATCCCAGCTTTGCTTGGGGGTGTAAAGTACCTATGATCAGATTCTCACTCAGCTGTGGGCCTGGGCACAGGAGTGTTCGTGATCTCAGCAGCGTGACCAGTTTACTCCTGATCATTTGGGAGACAGGAAATCAATCCGACTCTTTCATTTGCTACAACCAGCACAGGGCACAGCTGGTAAAGTCTCTCTGTTAACCTATAGAACATTATAGGTTCCTAATTGGTATTTTTTTCAGATTGTCCCTGATTCTAAAAATTTGTTTTTTCCTATGTTTTGTTTTCTCCATTTTAAAACATGGAAAATCTTGAACTCAACTGCTGGTAGCTAGATGATTTTTTTCACTAGAAAGATTTTAGCAAAGATTATGAGTGGAAAAGACGAGCCCCACCTCTGTTTATGGAGCTGTTGTTCCTTTATTTTATTCCCTTACCCCAGAGAGTGACTTTTTTGATCTTTATTTTTTGTTTTGTTTTTGGAAAAAACCTGCTGGTGCTTGGGGGATAATCCTGCCTCTGTCCTCAGGGGTTACTCCAGTACTCAGGGACGAGAGTATGCTGGTACTAAACTGGAGTTGGCCACAAGCAAGAGAAACATCTTAACCCCTTATCTCTCTGGCCCCTGTTCTATATGTTTAACTATCTCTAAACTGCTACAAAGATATCAGACAATGTTCAAGGGGTCATGTGGTACTAGGATCAAACCAAAAACTCCACATATGCAAGACATGTGCTCTACCACTTACTTGAGCCAGACCTCTGCACCTTTCTTTTTGAAATAAACAAAATTAATTAGAGAAAATGTCCTGGGCACAAAACTACACATTAATCAGTAGGGGCATCCATCAGCATCATCTCTCCTGCCCGCAGTAGTGAAAACTTTTCTGCCTTTGTTCTAACCTTCTTTCTATGTGGTCAAAGCTGAAACCATACTGTGTTCTTACTTGTGGCTCGCCATGAATCTGCCTCCCTATCCATCAATCCATCCATGCATCTGTCCCTTATTCCTTTCCTTCCATCCATATGCACAGCCCATTTTAATCAGCATCCGTGGAGAGAAGCCACAGGTTAAAAGCACAATAAGAACCTCACTCAGGCAGGAATATACACCAGTGCAGCTGTTTTTGTAGAAAATCAGGTACACGATGCAGCAGATATCCCCAAATAATAAAAGTTCCCACCCTCTGGCTCACTATTAGGGTTTCTGGGATATTTCCTAAGAAAACAATTAAAAATGCAGGCAAATATTTTTATGTACAAAAGTAGATACTGCAGTATACTTTATAATCCTAAAAAACATGGCTAACAACAGAAATATTTGGAAGCAAGGGAAGCGTTTGGTAAATACATTTGGAGATTATTTTATATCATGTAAATCTTAAAGATAATATTTATAAAGTCCTGAACTGATACACAAAACATTTGTGATGCAATATATGAAAAAAAGGTGGGATGCAAAATTACACATGCAGTCTGCTCTCAACTACCTTTATGGAACAATCAACTCCCACACCAGGCAATAAAAGACGCCAATCAAGCTATCTCCTATGGACTTGGAATGATTTTTCTATTACCTATTCTTGTCTGTATTTTCCAAGTTATCTACAATGAATACGATTTACTTTTAAAAGATGAAAGCTTTTCATTAAAGACGTTTAAAGTTACATACAAGCCAGGGCCAGTGGATGATCTTGTCCAGTCTTAAGGCAATGAATATAAACTGGAGAATGTTGACAGAACACAGGATCTCTAACTGAAAATCAAGAGAAGAATCAGTTAAGCATAGTCAACACTGTATTCAATACTGTCCTTACTAGGTCACCACATTTACATAGAGCTGATAAAATACATTGGAACCACCTCACTCTGAGCATGAGGAAAGAAGCTGTACCATGCCTAGGAGGAACCTACTGTGGCCTCCTGCCTCCCTCTGCTCTGAGGCTGCCCTGCCCTTTCTGACTATCTGGGCTGTGACCTTGCTTCCAGGTTTACAAGTACGGAGGCAGTTCATTGTAGTCTCCTCAAGATTCCCTCCTGCCCCATTCAAATATCTTTCACCGTGACCAGCCCATGATTTCCTCTTGTCAGAATAGGCACCCACGCCTTCCTTTCTGGCTCCCAGGGGATCCAATGATGTCAAGACGTTAACTGTAAGCCCTTTACTGCACCGTGATGCCCACTTATTCTAGCAGTCATTCCCAGAAGCTTAGAGTTTTATTCCTTTTCACAAAACTACAATCCCCAAGACCAAATGAAGCCTCCCTGATGCAGTATTCCCTCTGAACCCCAGCTCGATGCAGTATCCCCTCTGAACCCCAGCTCTCTCTTCATTTCAGTGGAGCTTCATGAGGCACACTGGAATTACTTCCTTCTGGTCCCCTCTGCCATTCCGAGTTACACCCACTGGGCTCCAGCCTCCCTCCCAGGACACACAGGAGGTGCCTTCACCAGGCAGAAACAGCCTCTGTGGCCATGCAGCACTTCTCTGAGAGCCTCAGCACCTGTCCTTGCTCCTAACTGGGAGATGTTCCTCAGATCAGACATTCCCCTCCCAGACATCCCCAGCAACACACCCATTCTCACTCTCAACCCTGCCTTGCGCTGTCTCTTGCCATTTGGTCTTCAAAGTCTCCACTGCCGGCAGAGCTGTTCTGCTGGGACACTTCCAGTATAATCACATCCAAAGAGGATTCATGATCCACTCACCCTAGTTCCCCATCTGCTGCGCAGGACGGTGCCCAGATATCTCCCCACTCTCAGGTAGCCAGTACGTGCTGTCAGCAACGCCATGATTTGTCTCCTACTTAGTCGGGGCCTCCTCAACAGCCCCTACTCCAGCAGGGCCTTGCTAGCCTGCCCACCAGGGGACTCTATCGCTCCCTGGCCTTCCAGGTTGGCCTGCTCTCTGCTTTGCAGTGGCGCCGTAGTGAAAAGCCAGCAAAACTGAAGTGTCTGGCCCCGGCTCCCCTAAGTTCTAAGCTCACTGAGAGGGCATATAGTGAGATGTCAGGATTTTCACAGAATCATAGCCCCCCCCCAAAAAAAAGCCCCCCAGTTCCACCAAGTTCAATATTCGGATCTAACTTACCATTACGGCTTATCTGCAAAAAATTGCCATGCACAGAAAAAGGTAATTTTTCATTCTCAGTAACCTGAACTAATACCAAATGGGTGTGTGTGTGTGTGTGTGTGTGTGTGTGTGTGTGTGCCTGTGTATGTGTACTGGTTGTTGCAGTTTCTCAAGACACTCCCACCCTCATTAGCTGCTCTCCATAGGGAGCTTTGAACCAAGTGATCTCAGCACAGCTGCTACTAACCACCCACCACCAGGAATTCAGTGGGGCCGAACAGAAAACTATCCCGCCAGGGGCTGAATTTGAAAGGTGCCTCCAGAGATATCAGTTTTCATTGCGTGCCTTTAACAAGTTCTCAGTGGCCCCTGATGTCCCTGAGAGTTCACTATGGGCCCCGAAACAGCTCAACATATGCTTGAAGGACTGAAATTCAGCCTGATCCCCCCAAATGCCCCCCCCACCCAACTTCCACAATTCCCTCTGCTGCACTTTATGGCCCAGACTAACATTTTAAGGTGGCAAAAGACACAAACTAGAAGACTTACCTTCTTAGTATCTATATGTGTAGTTCCCGGGTAAGCATGCTGATATCGCTGTGCACCCAGGACCGACCCCTGTCCATTTCTAGAATTCTTGCTTCTTTCAGGTCTGCAACACACCTGCTTCCCTTTACTGTGAGATTTTCTCCTACCCCCTAGCCTCCGATTTGCTGTTCTCCGGACCTAAGAACTACCTCCCCTCTCTGCCCCTTCTCAACTCCCGATCTGCCACCCTGGGCAAATAAATGCAGCACCCTTCTCTGGGACGCCCTCTCTTCCTGGAGCAGGAGGGCCCCTCGAGGAGCTTCCTTCTAGGAAGGAATGGCAACAGCAGCATGAATATACGGAAGGTGACTAACTAGAATGTTCGCTTACAGGCCTTCTTTTTCACGTATGCTTCTGAGGACTTTCACAGCTCGGCATTACCTGATTTGCTTGAAAATGAGAAAAATAACAGAGAACGCAAGTCGAAAGGCCAGGATTATGAAATGAAAATGGTCCTTTAGCAGATAATGAGGACACAGATTGGAGTAAAGTTGGACAAGAAACAGGCTAGTGTAGAAATAGAACTTGAGAAATGTGAATTGAAGCGGCCACGGCACCAGAATGGCAGCGGAGACAGAAAGTGTGAACTAAAGCGAAGGACACGCATTGGGGCTGGAAAATGCCCGAGACCAGAATTCAAAGAAACAGGAAATTGTGTGCTAGCGATGGAGGGAAAGTAGTTTGGCAAGGGAACCAAATGCTGAGTGCCAGGCATGTCAAAGCACCAGACGTGTCAGTAGCTGGGAGAGGGTGCAGGAAAGAGAGGGCAGGAAGGGCACCCTGGAGGGAAGGAGTGGCGTGGGCTGCTCCCTTGCTTTCAGGAAATGCAAGGGAGCCTTTCTGTGTTTCTGTGACAGGAGGGAAGGAAACAGCCCAACAGTGCAGGACTGAGAGCACTTTGTTGCTTCCCTTTTGTTTTCCCTGCTAAATGAAAGACAGAAGTCCCTGGCAAGTGTGGAAAAGTACGGAGCAAATACTTCAGGGACTCAGAGGCTCGAAGCAGGGTAGATGCAGCGGGCCAAAGAGGGCACACAAGATGAATGGGCAGGGAGGCTGAAGCATACAGGGGCAAAGGTGTCAAATGACTCACGGGAAGAAAGGGAGGGACACCACACAGAGCCAGAACACAGTTACCACTTCACTGCTCACCACAGTGAAGTTATGTAGGGTCTAGCTGGGTGCTTCTCAAGCTGGTTTTCCCTCCTATCTCACTGGTTCCTAGGAGAGTCCTTACAGACCCAGGTGCCCAGATGCTCTCAGTCATGGAATAAATAGCCAGAGGAAGGCAGTGCAGCTAGGGACTAGATGCTGGATGCAGAAAGAAGACATGGACGTGACTGACCACTTCTGGCCTCTTCCAGCACCAGAGTGGAGGGTACCTGTTCTCTTTGGTCAAGACCATGGCATTCAGGGTCTTACTCTTTGGCTTCTCCCAGGGCCTTGCTCCATCATTCCCCCTCTTGAGGCTCATGTAGTCAACCTTGTGCTCTACAATCCAATGGCAGTTTCCTTCCTCCATGTTCACCCATGTCTCAAAACCCACCTCCCATTTTCTCCATCTCTGCCCCTCAACCTGACCATAAGGCAGGGGGCCATCAGCCTCTGGATCCAGGCAGGGACTCAGGCTGAATGACATGGAACAAATTGTTGATACTCTGTGGCACCTGAGGATGGTGACCACTCGCACTTGCAGGATCAGCACTGATCACTCTGTACTGGTGCGGATCCAGGAGCAGGAGCTAGTCCAGTGCCTGTCACACAGTTAAGTGCTCTATAAACATTCTCCACAGTGATTTTCATCACCCATGTGAGTCCTGCTTTTTCATCCACTGGGTAGCCCCTAAGTTCAGGCAAAAAGGACTTGAAATTAAAAAGAGGGCAGGAGAAGTGTTGGATCATCGGTCAAGTCAGAGAGTTTTAGATGTCGATGTGTCCAGTTCTCTGTCAAGCACTCATCTAGATTTTGCAGCAAAGGAAACAGCTTCAAGGCCAGGAGGTTCCGCTTCATAACGTGGGTGTGTTTATTCAAGTAACTAAAAGGCCTTGAGAGCAAAATCAGATGCTGTGGAGAGAAAGAAATTTGGCCTCCCCACTCTATCTTAGTCATATCAGACCTACCAGAGTCCCACAACTGTGTGAGTAATTTTTTAAAGTAAACATCCTTGTATCTGAATCGATTTCTATCCTCCTGAATTCAGTTCTCAGGAACAGTCTGACTGACAGAAGTGAAAAGGGAAAGAAAGGAAACTAGACAAAGCCTGATGGCCTGGCTGAAAATTTAAGGAAGAGAAACGCGATCGTTCCCATCCTCGTTTCTTTTTGTGCCATGATCCAGAGTGATCAATCCCGTCACAGCCTCCCCCCCATATTACAGTAACTACCCAAAACATTTTACTTAAAAAAAATTCTTAAATATATGACCTCTCACCTCCAGTGACCTGTCATGTCGAAAGCCCCAAACACAGGCTGCAACGGACACAGGGGACACAAAGAAGAGTGGCATAAAGACCAGAAGCCAGAAGTGGCTTCCCCTCTCGATCCTGTCACACACTAGAACTTCGAACATCAACAGGAGCAGATGGATGCCCACTGCAATTAGCATGGCTTTGAACTCCACACATGTCTCTCCTTCTGCTCTGAAAGGGGACAGAAGAAGAAAAGCATCCTCGGTTAGAATCTCTCTAACAAGCATAAAGGCAACACGCCTAGATGGTTTAAACTTCATTTGAAAATCTAACAAGAAGCAAAGAAAAAACTGGGTAAAAAGTTCACAGAAATCTGAGCCTGAGTCATCTTCCAAGCTTCAAATTACTACCTTCGCAAAAAAGGAACATTATGAGCAAACTGGACTTAACCTTTTGAATGTTTGACATTTTCAGAAGTAACAGTCATAGTCATCATCTCCTGACAGCGTATACACTCTCTTATTCAGAACTCGGAAGTCAACTAAATTCAAGATTAATCAAACTGAGCACTTCCTGTCAAAAAACGATAAATATCCCTTAAATCCTTATGCTCCACATCTCTTTACAAATTAAGAACCATTAAATCATATTTCACGCATCACCAATTGCTCTATAGGTGTGCGTTATGAAAATGTATGGCTCATATTTCACAAAATACATAGTAATTATTATTACATATCATTTAAAAAGGATCAGTGCTGGAATATTATATACCTAAAACTCAACTTTGAATAACTGTAAATCATGGTACTTTAGTAAGTTTTTTAAGGAAATAAAATAGATAACTTAAAAATAAAAATATCAACGCTTTTTCATTTTTTTCTATCATGTTTGGATGGATTAACACCTGAAAATAAAAGAGAAAGAATAGCAAAAGTGTTAAAAACTGTTCATAAACAAAGTCAGTTTTATTAACTGGTTATGCATCACCGTGACTTTCATAGATTAAACAATGAAAAATTGTTAATAAGAAATGCTTAATAATGCACCAATCAGAAAATGCTTAATAATGCACCTGGAAGACTTATTATGTTTCATTCAAAAATTCGGATGGATATTATAATGATGTGTCTTTTGCAGATAAATATACCCAAGTTTAGGATACAGAGCAAAGGAAGTAGGGGTTATTCTTATAGAACCTCATAGCTCTGTCTCTGTAGAGATTTACTGTGAACACCTGAATGACCACATCTGTACAGTCAACTGCATATATTTCTTCTCTTGCTTGAAAAAAACTTAAACCAACATATAAGAGTTCAACAATTTTGGAAATAGCAAGCAGTGGGATCTAAATATTTTTTTTGAGTACAAACAGTATGTGTATAAATTTATCTCAAAGCAAAGCAAAATTTTGTAGCCACTTCAGGGAATCTTACAGACAACAACCCCCCCTCACCCCCCAGAACATTAAAACAGCTACACCTGAGAGGCTGGAGTGATAGCACAGCGGGTAGGGCGTTTACCTTGCATGCGGCCAACCCGGGTTCAATTCCCAGCACCCCATATGATCCCCTGAGCACTGCCAGGAGTGATTCCTGAGTGCAAAGCCAGGAGTAACCCCTGTGCATCGTCGGGTGTGACCCCCCCCCCAAAAAAAAAACTACACCTGAGTGCTCCCCACCTGCCCAGGCTCCTGTGACCATTTGAATGGCATAAAATATGTGGTACTAATGTGTGTGATGACATAACTTGTAGGGTCTACATCTTGTCTTTTAAGTTGATAATCAAAAACAAAATAAGTTGAAGCAGACTCATTTCAAGACTTAAGTCCCCATTTACGGAGAAGAGACCTGCACAGGCCCATCAGCACTGGCGTGACCCAACAATGAGAGTAAGGGCAGTAGAAGAAGGAAGTACCAAGAAGGAAGACAAAGGTAATGAAAGTAATGGTCCCCTCTTCCTGGCCTCCAAAGGTTCTGCTCTCCTGTGCAGCATCAGGCTTCATCTTTCCCCATCTCCTAGTCAAATTCTCTGCCCCCAACTGCTAAGAGCTCCAAAAGGTGCTCCAATCCCAGGTCTGAATAAGCCAAGGATCGATTTCCCAATGACTGAAGCTAAAAATTTGGTTTATAGAACTTCTACAATCGTGATGGTTTCCTACTTCCTAATGGAGTAGAGTATACTTTAGAGTGCTATATAGTTTGATTAAAAATCCATTAGATGCATAGGCTTGTGTGGGTTGGTCAGTATCTTAATCATTGAACCTAACACTGTTTTTGCAAGAAAATACATATCAAACACTGAAATGTATAAAACATAGGGCATAGTCTGCCTATATTATAGTTCTTTTTGAGGGGAGGGGACAGGCACCCAAGTGATGGTGGTGGTCTGAGGGACCCACCAGTGATTCTTGACCAACTGAGCCAGTAGTTCAGTGCCAGAGCCCCAGAATGCAATGAGGGTTCTGGGAATACCCTTGCCACCCAAAGGTTGCTGTGGGTGCAGAGGGTTGCAGCTGGGTATGAAGTGATGTAGTGATCATCAGGGTATGTAGTGATGGGAATCAAACCAGGTCAGGCAGGCACAAGCTAGGCATGTACTAATAACTTCAGTACTATCTGCCAGCCTTATTATAGTTCTTAGAAAACTCCAGACAAGTTGAAATAAAGTAGTCCTTTCTTTGTCAAAGTTAAAAATGCAGTGATTCCTTCCTATGGAAGAAAGCAGTAGTTTTATAAAGCAGTATTACCGATATTGGGGATTTCGTGCCCAGACTCCAGTTCCAACCGAGGCTCCAACTATGACCATTAACTTCCACAACCATATTGGAGCAAAGACAGCCCAATAACTCCACTGAATGATGCCATCCAGACGAAGGGCCAGCAGCACAGAGAACAGCAGCAGACAGGCATAGATGAGGAATTTACTAGAAGAAAAGAAAAATAATTTAAGAGGATTCACTTTTACTAGCATGTGATCCTATTTTGTTTTCAGCAAGTCAAAATAAGCCACTATTTAATAAACATTCATTTAAGAATTCAATGTAGTAGAAACATTGTGTTACGGAATAAGAAAAACTTAAAGGATAAAATAAGTTTCCTGCTTTCGCACTGTTCACTGTCACTGTCCTCCCGTTGTTCGTCGATTTGCTCGAGCGGGCCCAGTAACGTCTGCATTTTGAGACTTGTTGTTACTGTGTTTGGCGGGCAAGATACTCTGGGTAGCTTGCCGGGCTCTCTGAGAGGGGTAGAGGAATCGAACCTGGCTAGGCCGGGCAAACGCCCTACCGCTGTGCTATCACTACAATAGCCAAAATCTGGAAACAACCCAAATGCCCTAGAACAGATGACTGGTTAAAGAATCTTTGGTACATCTACACAATACTATGCAGCTGTCTGGAGAGATGAAGTCATGAATTTTGCTTCTAAAATGATAGACATGGAGAGTACCATGCTAAGTGAAATGAGTCAGAAAGAGAGGGACAGACATAGAAGGACTGCACTCTTTTGTGGAGTATAAAATAACATAACATGAAGCTGACTCCTAAGGACAGTTGGTACATGGGACAGATTGCTGCATAGCTGGAAGCCTGCCTCATGAGCAAAGGGAGAAGGCAGCTGGAATAGAGAAGGGATCACTAAGAAAAAGATGGCTGGAGGAATCGGTCGGGATGGGAGATGTGTGCAGAAAGTAGATAAAGGACCAAACACGATAACCTCTCAGGGTCTGCATTGCAAACCATAATGCCCAAAAGTAGAGAGAGTATGGGGAATCATGTCTGCTATGGAGGCAGGGAGAGGGTGGGAAAGGGGGGCTATACTGGGGATATTGGTGGTGGGGAATGTGCACTGGTGCAGGGATGGGTGTTTGATAATTGTGTGATTGTAACCCAAACATGAAAGCTTGTAACTATCTCACGGTGATTCAATAAAATTTAAAAAAAAAGGCTTCCTGCTTTCCATGGCTTCTGTGAGAATTCACAGAAACATAATTCTAATAAAGCATCCTCTGTGCCATAATGTACCCTGGGGAGAATGGGTGATGAGAGCCCAGAAGAGGAAATGAGAATTGTTTTGGGATTCTGCTAAGCAAAGAAGTGATGACTGTAGTTCATTTTGAAGAATGTGTAAATATTTCAAAGGGATTAAAATATGTGAAATGAGGAAGCATTCTATACAAATGGAACTAATCATACCAAGAAACTAATACTGGAAAATGTTGATATGCTCAGGTTAGTAAAGTTATGTCACTATTTGATTCTACTTTTTTTTAAGGGTAAAGGTACTTTCTGAAGAAGATATCCTAAATATAATAGTATCTGAAATTACATTGTCGAGGACTTCTACTTCCAGTTTTGATGTAGTATGTGAAATGGGTTTTTTTCACCCTACCTTAAATAAGAAAGAAGGCAAAACACTTAAAAGAACAGTTTTTTGACATGGGAAACCAGTGAAGGATGGTAGTGGCAGAAAGAAAGAAAAGGAAGGAAGGAAGTAATTTCATATTGTCCCTCTCCAATGCCTGGGTGCAGTTATGGGTTATAGAAAAAATGCCAGCTGAAGTTCAACTCTATTGACAATTACATTAAATATTAATGTCTGAATGACAAAGACTGTCAAATTGGATGTTTAAAAAAATCAAGACAATTAGATGTTATCGATAAGACCCCACATTATCAATCTATAAATTCACAGATTAAAGGTAAAAGGTCAGGGGGCTGGAGTGATAGCATAGTGGGTAGGGCGTTTGCCTTGCACGCAGCTGACCCAGGTTCAATTCCCAGCATCCCATATGATCCCCTGAGCACCGCCAGGGATAATTTTTGCGTGCAGAGCCAGGAGTGACCCCTGTGCATCACCGGGTGTGACCTAAAAAGTAAAAAATAAATAAATAAAAGGTCAGAAAAAAAATACCAACACAATACTAACTGAAAGAAAATTGGAGTGGGGACTGGAGTTAGTATAGCAGTAGGGCCCTTACCTAGCACAGTCAACCTGGGTTTGATCTCCAGTGCCCCATATGGTCCGCCAAGCATCTCAGGAGTGACTGCTGAGTGCAGAGCCAGGAGTGATCCCTGAGCACCACCAGGTGTGGGTCAAAAACAAGGAAACAAAATGCCCCCCCCCCCAATTTGGAGTGACTATATTAATCTCTTTATATATATTTTTTATTTGGGGCCACACCTGGCAATGCTCAGGAGTTACTCCTGCTGCACTCAGGAATCACTCCAAGCACTGCTCAGGGGACGATATGGGATACTGGGATCAAACCCGGGTAGGCCGTGTATAAGGCAAACATTCTACCTGTTGTACTATCTCTTTACCCTGATTTTGTGTTTGTTTTTTGTTTGGGGGTCACAACTGACAGTGTTCAGGGATCTCTCCTGGCTCTGTGCTCAGGGATCACTCCTGGTGGGGATCGGGGGACTATATGTACCCCCTGTACTATGGCTCTGGCCCCAACATTTTCCTTTTTAACTTTAAATACCAGGGTTTACAAAGTTGTTCATAATACAGTTGTTGCAGGCATTCAATGTTCTGATACAAATCCGACCACTATAGTGACCTTCCCTGTACTACTGTCCCCATTTTCCCAACCACCCTCCATCAGCCAAGCCTGTCCCCTGAGCATACACAAAACAATTTATTTTATATTGTTTGTTACAACGAAATGGCAAATGAATTATTGAAAAATACGGCAGTAAAAAAAAATTGTGAAAATTCTTATAAGTCACCATGGGGTTATTAAGTCCTTCCCTGAGGGCTTACTAAGCTGTGTTGCTAGTTGATCCATTTTATTATTTTTGTTTATTGAGCTCAGTTGGCCTCTGTTACTTTCCCATTTATATGGTCTGCTCAGACTGGGATGTCAGTATTGTGTAATTTGGAGTGTCACTCCAGGAACTCCAGGATCTGTAGAACTGAGCCTGTGGATGAGTTTACGTGGTGGTGGCTATGGATGTGTCTTCCAGGGCTTCTGGAAGTATGGGTGTGGGGGGAGGCTTCCTGCACCACTCCTGAGAAGACCCAGGGTTGTCAGCCTGAAAACTGGTGTACCTTGAGTTTTCATTGGTTTGGCGTTTCTGCAGAGATTAGTTGTGAAACAGTGAAGCTGGGCCATTGGCATGGTGGCCGCTGTAGGGTGTGGCTGTAGCTGCTGCAGAGCTTAGGCAGGGCGGGGACTGGGCCTGCCCCTCTCCCAAGGGCACCCCAGAGTTTTCAATCAGGAGAACAGTGTACCTGTGAATTTTAGCAGCTTAGCTTGCTCTCCTTGGAGATTTCGACACAAATATGTAAAGCTGGGCTGATGTATGAATGTACATGGCAAGGGCTATGGGATGTCTGTTTTCATTTTCTATTACTGCTACAAAATTTTTTTACGAACTTAATATAATCTTCAGTGTGTCTGTTAGAAGTTCAAACAGGCTTGGTTTCTCTTCTCAGAATCTCATTAAGAAACTCAGGATATTAACTGACTGTGCTCTTATCATGTGGGCTGGAGCGATAGCACAGCGGTAGGGCATTTGCCTTGCACGCAGCCTGACCCGAGTTCGATTCCTCCGCCCCTCTCGGAGAGCCCAGCAAGCTACCGAGAGTATCTCACCCCCCCATGACGTATTCGATATGCCAAACACAGTAACAACAAGTCTCATGATGGAGACGTTACTGGGCCCGCTCCAGCAAATCGATGAATAACGGGAGGACTGTGACCGTGACCGTGCTCTTATCGGGGGTCTCTGGGAAGAATCTGCAACCAAGCTCATTCATACTGTCTGCAGCCATTTTGAAGTTTCTTGGCTTGGCTGTCTGGTGTAGGCTGCCCTTAGAATGCAGATCTTCGTCCATTCTCTGCACTAAGTATCTTTAATCTCAAAGTCAGCAAGTCACAGTAAATCTTTTTTTTTGTTTCTTGGTGGGGTGGGGGGGACACCCTGTGATGCTTAGGGGTTGGTTACTCCTGGCTCTGCGCTAAGGAATTACTCCTGGTGGTAGCATAGCAAATCTTTTGTACAACTGAAATTTCTGACTTCCCCTTTTGTCATATTGTTCTTGCTTCAAGAGAAAGTTCTGTTTTTAAGAGCTCATGTGATTAGATTCAGAGCATCCAGATTATTCCTATTTCATGTTATTTACTTTTGTATGTTTTTGTGTGTGGTGTCAGGAATTGAATTCGGGTCCTCATATATGCAAACAAAGTGTTCTCTCTCTTAGCAACATTAGCATGCTGTATTCCTATTTTAAAGTCTGTCACTGTGACAGAATTCTAAAGTTCCCCCCAAATGTTCTATTCCCTGGTTATTTAAACACTACTACAGGTACTACCATGAAAGAGCTTTGCAGACACAACTGAGGTTAGTCACTTAAGGGAAATTATCCCATATTATGTAGATGGGCCTTATATCATTGTAGTAGTCTGTAAAAAGCAGAAAGGGAAGGCAAAGAGACTTGGGAGAAGATGCGAGATGAGAGAAGTCTACCACTTGAGGACTTTACCTGACTTTGCTTATTTTGAAGATGATATAAGGTAGCTAAGTTATGCAGGCAAACTTAACAAGTTAATATTGGCTTCTGGTTGACAGCCAATAAGAAAATGGGGTCCTCAGTGCTGTTATCACACTAGTAACTAGATTCTGACATCAACTCAACTGAGCTTGGGAGGAGGTTAATCTCCAAGAGCTTCCACAAAGGCATACATCTCAGCATATACATTGATTTGAGCTTTATGAGTTTCTAAGAGTCTCATGCATCTGATCTAGCTGGGCACTATCAGTCTTCTGAGATTCTAAATAGAAGATTCAACTGAACAATATTGTACCAATACTTCTGTCCTACTGCCAGCATATATTTGTGTAGTTTACTTTTTTAAAATGAATTGATTTTTATTTTATTTATTTATTGTTTATTAGTGAATCACCGTGAGGTATAG